AAGGAACTGTTATGGGTGTCTATAGAAACATACTAAGGACAACAGAGGTTTACAAAACTCAATATGATATTCCCCTTGGTGTTACTGCATTGTTCAATCAAAATTTTGAAGTCAGACAATTTGATATCTCAACTTATAGTGATCCCAAAGTATTATAATTTCCCTTGATTTTTTGACAGGAAGAAAAGTGTCATATAATCTGTAGACTATGTTTCCAGTTCCTTCATTCTCTCTCTCTCTCTCTCTCTCTCTCTCTCTCTCTCTCTCTCTCTCTGTGTGTGTGTGTGTGTGTGTGTGTGTGTATGTGTGGGTTCATATAACAGCACAGTTTTATTGGATCTTAACTGTCAGTTAAGAAGAGATTTTTTTAAAATTTGCTATTGAGGTCTCTTAATACCTGGTAATTATAACTGTGAGGATAAACTTGCTATTTAAAAATATATGGTATCCCAAAATGGAGGGAATCAGACGGGCCGAATATCAATGAAAAACTGAAATGACATATAGAAAGACAGACAGATAAAGAAATAGTCAGAGCTGATATAACCTCACCTGAAGAAAAGCTGTGATGCCTCTAAACTATGGGAACACTGAAATGATAATCTTGACTAATTGCTGTAAGCTGAGGGAGGTGAGGTACTCTAAGGTGACTGTTGCAATAGGGAACTTTCCAGCTGCTTTTTTCTTGAAAACCACAAAATCCAACAGCTTCTCATAGAAAAGATTTGAGGAAGATTCCCTGGTGACTGTCCAGTGTCTGGGAGAAAATCATTATAAAACTCACCCCGAGTTCTTCATAACAAATGCTTACTCTAGAGGGAGAAACACTCCAGTGGATCCTTGTTCTCATTGGAAAGGGCAATTTCTCTGCAGTGTGCTTCTGACTATTTGTCTCAATTGAAGGGGAAAAAATAGATCACAGAGGTATTGGCTTCAAATAAATATAATGGGGAAGTTACAGATAGTGATGGGATGAAAGGATGGAAGGACAAAGAAAACAAAAGCCAATGGTTCTGGTAGAGAAACACTTGGAATATCTTAGCCTCTAGTCACAATTCCACTGAAATGAGGCTTAACTCTGAGATTACTGAACACTTCATCACCTTGGCATTTCAGTCGTACAGGGGCAAGGCTCCAGTGTAGAAATGGTGACTACAGCTGAAAGAAATAAAAGATAGTCTCTCTGAAGAGATATAGACAAGTAAAACAAAATTAAGTGGAATGATGACAATCCAGACATGAGTGAAATTTTAGGACACTTGAATTTGTAGCCATAGAAGATGATAATGTTTCATACCAGGTTAGATTATCAATGAGAATAGTTAAAGATACCCAACTGGGGCACATTACTAGAAGTTAAACACTGTACGATAATAATAATAATAATAATAATAATAATAATAATAATAATAGCTACTTTACACTCAGCAACCTTCAATACATATAATAATTTCCTTTAAGCTACATTCTTGGGAACCAGTTTGTTTTATCATTTTATTAGTAAACTCACAGATCCTTCCCTTGTGCCTATCTGCCTTGAGCATGGAGATGAAACTGTCAGACTAGCTTTTGGTGAGTAAGCTGTCTCTTATGGTAGCATACTTGTAATCACAGTTTACTGATATGATAAAGAAACTACATTCTAACTGAAAAAACTTGTAGCCTCTGATTATGTCATGGCTGCTGCTTCTTCTTCTTCTTCTTCTTCTTCTTCTTCTTCTTCTTCTTCTTCTTCTTCTTCTTCTTCTTCTTCTTCTTCTTTATTTGAGGAGCCTTGTTCAAGCCCAGCCTTCTTCAGAAGACGTAAACTAGATCTCCAGGCAATAAATATTAGTAAATAGAAGTGTATTTATTGATTTATTTACTTACTTATTTATTGGGTTGTGTCATGTTGCTGACGCTGGCCTTGACCTATAGATCCTGCTGTCTTTCTCTTCCCACTTTTATGATTACAAACAGGTGTCATTGTGCTGGGCTTCCATACATAATATTTAGTAGAGTTTGCAGTTACTATTTTTAAAGAGGGAAGTGGAAGTACCTATGCAGTAATTCATCAAGAACCACTGATTAGTGCAATATGGATTTTTGATATTTTGATCATCCTCTATGAAGATACTGTGAATAAAAAATAAAAAATAATTCTGTGATTGTACAAATAATTATTTCCAGGAATGTCTCTGCAGGGCACTGTATAGCCACACTGAGTTAAGTTTTTCAGTCACCTAGGAGACACACTCCTATGCTATCTCATGACACATATACTAGGACCAATAAAAAGCTTCTGGAGAGTGCCTCCTTTCTACTTATGGTCTTATCAAAAGGAAACAAGCTGGGCTAGCAACACAAACATTCAGTAGAAATGGAATCAGTTACTGTGGTGCCAAGAAAGCCTCTGACAAGTTATCAAAAACAAGAGCAGAAAGAGAGAGTAGAGTCAGCTGAGGCTGGGAAAGTCCTTGGATGAGGTCAAGGAGACAATAAAGCAAATTATGAAATGCAGAATCCAGGGAAAGTCAACAATATACAGACTGCAGGCTCTAGCCACTGGTAAAGTTCCTGTGAGGCTCTAAAAATCACAGGCAGCATTATTCAAGATCAGAGAGCTGTATTCCTAGCCACTGTGAAGAGACTTAAGTTCCTACACAAGGGCTTAAACGAAGTAAAGTTTGCCATCAACTGCTGCTTCTTGCTGCTATGGGCATTCAAGCATTGACTGCTAAGTGCCACAGTCAAGGCCCAGAGCAGCAAGCCCCTCACTTGAGCTCAAACAACTCAAGTAATGGAATTACTCAAGTAACTCAAGTAACTCAGTTAGTTTTAGTCTTTTGAGCTAGGATCCACCTAAATAAAAATTTTTAGTACATTAGAAAGATCAATAAAATGGTTCTGCTACAACCTTCAGATGATTCTATGTATGTACGTTTTATTTTTATATTCATGCTACTTTGTCAAACATGGCAATGTCTATTATTGTTCAAGATGTAAAAGACATTCCTTACAACAAAGACCTACTAGTACCCAGATGTATTTCTGAGTTTAAATAATGTTCAGATTAGCACTTAGTTTTAATGCCTTTTATCCTGACATACTTATGAGTGCCTGAACATTTCTTCTATAAACCCAAGAACTCCATAATAAATTAAACCTTTTGCCACATATTTAAATTACTAACAGTGGAGATGGAAAAATATTACATTTAGTTTTGCTCTTTCTCTTCTTCTCTGAACACCTCACCAACACAGATCCTTATATAACCCAAGCTGCTGTTGAACCCTGGATTCTCCTTCCTCAACCTCTAGTTCATCACAAGCACAGAGATGTCTCACATTCTTTCTTAGTTCTGTAAGACTCCTTATTGTGCCACTTCCATTTCCTTGAGTAACATTTTCACCCATCTTCTAAATGGCGGGGACAAATAAATACTCTTAATTTACATTAATCTGAAAATGTTTTACTTACCCTATACTCTGAATATATGTCTGTGTGTCTGTGAATCTAGATATAAGATTCAGTTGACAGATCTTTGCCTTCCATAGTTGAATAATGTAAAATTTCCTTTTAATTTTCATCGTTTATTATAAGAGATCCACTTTAATTTAAATATCCCTGCAGGCAAGGTAGTACTTTTAGCTTTTGGGTGAAAGATATTCATAGAAGAACATCTATGTATTTTGGAACTTGTAATAAATCAAAATCAAAACCATTTCAATACACAAATAATTTATTGAAAGTAATATACAAATCTACTTCATTAGAGTATGCACTCATAAAGTGTCTCAACTACATGATTTGTAAATTTGTGTTGAGTCAGATTTTGACTAACAGTGAATAGTCAGTACATGTCAGTTCCAGCACTTTGCTTATAATAATCTCAGATTCCTAAAAGAACTATTCCTGTGTCCTAAAAAAAATTCCAGTTTGTAGAGGATCAGTTAATGCACAGGGAAATGGGTAGCACAGCATTTAATGTTTTCTTATTTTGACTTTATACTTTTAAGTAAAATATGATGTCAATTTTTATCCTCATCATCACCACTGTCAGGTGTTTTTAAGCAGGGTGTTGCTTTGTAATCCAGAATGGTATTAAATTTGGGACTATGGAGAGTCATTCTCTTGGGCACAGTGCTATCACACATTCACTACCATTCTGGTTGGGGGTGGGTATTGTAAGTAGTTGAAATCAATAATGTCAATAGATAATGTCATTTCAGAGCCTTTTATTTATTTTAAATTAATCCCCTTTCCCATAATACAATATTCGATCTTCTTCACATAATTATTAAAGTAATTACATAATTACTTCACATAATTACTTAAAGTAAGACTCCTGAACTATCTTCAGTCAGTGCCCTTCTTATCTAATTTAGTTTCCTGAACTCATCCTTCTTTGTTTGCTAATTTGTTAAGATTATTATTTTTTAAATTATTTGAGGAACTCACTTTTACACATTTTTTTCAAATCTATTTCCATTCCATCCTCTATAGTTCTGACTATCTTCCATTAGTTTCCCTTCTCAACATCATGTGCTTATTTTAAAAAACACACTCAGTCTATTTAATGCTGCCTGGATATGCATGAGTGTGGGACTCTTCTGGAAC